TGAAAATCATAAGCATCGAGATCATCGAAACAAAAGAAGAAAAAAGTTAATGAAAATAATCAAAAGTAGAGTTAAGTATAAATAATGCTTACATGTTTTGAAATTAAATAAAACTTCAAAAAAGTAAAAAAAAAACTAGGTAATAGTTATACTATTGTTATTAAAGGTGGAATGGATGTTATCATTGAGCACTGCGGAAGAACATAAATAATGCTAACATGCTATGACTACCGTCCAATTTCTCTCCTACCAGTGTTCTCTAAAGTTTATGAAAAAGTAATCGAATTTATAATTACTTGAAGTTAAACAAACTTTTATATGAAAATCAATTTGGTTTTCAAAAAATTTGCTCAACAGAACATGCTATCATTGAACTTACTAATAAAATATTTCAATTTTTTGATAAAGGGGGTCATGTACTGGGAGTATTTATAGACCTTTCAAAGGCATTTGATACAGTTGACCACAACATCTTACTATCAAAATTAAAACATTTTGGTATCAAAGGACTAATATACAAATAGGTAAAAAACTATCTGAGTAACAGAAAGCAGTTTGTAATTAACAAAGAGTCAAGTGTTCTTGATATTGAATGTGGGGTCCTTCAAGGCTCAATCTTAGGACCGTTATTGTTTTTAATTTACATCAATGATATGCATAAAGCATCATCTATGGTATCTTCAATAATGTATGCTGATGACACAACTTTATTTTATAATCATAGTAATTTAAAATCGATGTTCAGAACAAAAATTTTTACTTATGGTTTAGAGCAAATAAACTATCCTTAAACTGTGAAAAAACTAACTACATCTTATTTCATAAAACAGATCAATCAAGTCTCTAACGTTAAAAATTCCAGCATTACTCATTAACAACATAAGAATAAAACGGGAAAAATATGCAAAGTTTCTTGGTGTTCAAATTGATAAAAATTTATCATGGAGAAATCATATTATAAGAATATAATTTATATTATATTCTTATTTTTATGTTCAAATATAAAAATAATATGCTACCAAATTCTTTTTTATACATATTTTTGTCATCATTTTCTCAAAGTTATAATCTGCGACCAAATAGCTTCCATAACTATTATATTAAAAAAACTAAAACCCAGGGTTCTGAATTTTTAATTATGTTACTGGGTCCAAAAATATGGAAAAACTTGAAAAATCGATGGAATATCGTCGTTTAAACGGCAAGCAAAACTGCATATTCTTAGTTTGTAAAAATGATTGTAATAAATTAAAAAGAAAAAAAAACTATAAAAATTATAAAAAGTGAAAAAAAGTAAAAAAAAAATTTTCAAAGTCGACTAATTTCGACTTTCGACTAGTCGAATTTAAGTCCATTTAGTCGGAGTCGATAACAACTAGGGACCAGCGAAGTCGATTTTCAAAGACTCGAAGTTATATGAAAGACGAATTTAGACTATATGCGTATACCGAATTTAACTGAAAGACAAATTTAAGCCGTATATGTAGATAGAATTTAACTAAAAGACGAAGTTGGATTTCTAAACCGTATTTAACTGAAAGCCGAATTTGGATTTTAAAACACATTTAATTAAAAAAAGAAATTTTTTAAAGATTTTTTATGTTTAAAAATTATTATTTTTTCGTTGTTGTTGCTTTAAATGTTCCGAAAAGATCTAACAGTTTTTCCCCGGAGTAAATTAGAAAAGTATTAAACTAGAAAGTTTAAACCTTTTTTCTTACCGATCGTGCGAAATATGCCTATAGCTTGCTTCGAACCCTAGGTCTATTGTTTCTAAAGCAAGCGCTCTAACCACTGCGCACAGGTTACTGTATAATTATTTTTTATAAACTAAAGTTATTATTTTTTAGCTTATAATTAACCATAATTTAAAACTTAATATAGAACAAGTGAAGCCAAGTAAATTTTAATTTATTAAAAAGGTACACGCTTACAAAAAATAATTTGCGTCAAAATAAAAAATCTTAAAATTCAATAATAATGAAAATTTAAGTTATGGAATATTTACAACTCTTAATGTTTTTGAACGAACATGAATGATTTTCTATTTTTACCCAATTCATATTCCCAAAGTTGAGTGGGCCATTTTAGTCGAGGAAGCTACTTCTTATATTGGTTGCAACCCTCTCTCAATTCTAAAAGAGGGTTGTAACTAATAGAAACAGGTTGATTTACATAAAACATATAATATATTTTATAATTCTTCTTTATAAATTGAAAAAAACTTTGTAGGTTTCGAATTTAAATGAAAGTTAAACGAAATTTTGAAATTGTTACCGAATTTTACTAAAAGATGAATTTCTATTTCAACTTTGGCACCGAAGTCGAAGCCGAAGTCAACTTCGCCTTTCAGTAAACTTCGAAATCCGAATTTTAACGAATATTCGCCGTTCCTTAATAACAACACTAGTTTTTTGGGATTTTATTATTTATTATATTATATTACTAAGAAAATTCATATTCATAAAAATACATTAATAAAAATAAATCTTATTACATTCCCAACAAAAAAAAGAAGAGCTTTAATCATCAGTTTTACCAACTTTTAATATAGACAATATAATTATTGAACAAACCCAATCATCTATATTTCTTGGTGTGCTTCTTAACGAGAATTTGTTATGGAGCTCTCACATTAATGCTATTTTTTTTTATTTTAATTCACCTCCTCAAGGCCGAGAAAGCCACTACAGACGAGGAGGCTACTTATTTGTGGTTATAACCCTCTCTCAACTCTATAACTCCGAAACACGAACCTTGACGAGCAAGGCCGCTGCGCGGAGAAACGAGTTGAGCGCGGTACTACCAGGGACGTGGTGGGGATCGAACTCGGAACCACTCGTTTATGAAGCGAGCGCTCTACCACTACACCACTACCGCATTTTATTAAAACAAAATTCTCAAAAACCATTGGTCTAATCTATACAGCAAGATCTTATCTATCGATCAAAAGTTTAAAACTTCTTGACTTTTCTTTTATATATGCTATATTATCATACGCTAATAAAGCATAAGCAAGTACCCATAAAACTAAATTAAGTTTTCTCTATAGACGGTAGAAACTCGCTTCAAGAGTTATATTTTATTAAGACAAGGTTACTCATACAAACCCATTACTAAAACAGATGAATGTTTTAAACATTTATCAAATCAATATATATCAAAATTTTTTGTTTATGCTCAAACATAAAATGAGAAATGTTCCAAGTCAATTTATAAATAACTTTTTTAAAACTAATATAAATTAATTTAGCATTAGAGCAACTGCCCTTAAAAAAAGAAAATTATCCCAAATCTTTACAGCGTATCGTGGTCCTTACCTGTATAACAAATAATAATAAAAAATTCCTCACTATCTTCTCTGAAAAATATAAATTCCTTAAAAGCTAATCTAAAAAAACTCAATTTATTTTTATTTGATACAAGCAATTATATGCAAATTTTCTAATATCAAGTAATTAAACCAAATTGATTTATTTGAATAATTGAATTAAGCGCTCTTTAATGAAATATTTGTAAACTTTATTGTTTGACAGTTTCTTTTCATAATTTTGTAACAACTTTTCCAAAATCTCTATAATTAATGCTGCTTTAAAAAAAAAAAAGTTAAGATCGCTGTTGAAAATAAAAAAAAAATGGTCAAAAGCGCCTTATTTATCGATCTTCAATTGTTTTTCTTATGAAAAAAATCTGTTTTGATTTTAGTACATGATCTTCATTGTATTAAAATAAAATTAAAAAAATTTTAAGCTTCAATAGTTTTTGAGTCACCGCAACGAAATGATGATATGTAGATTTTCTGGGACCAAATTTTTGAAACCAAAATAATTTTCAACTTTTTTTTTTTTTATAATTTTGTTATTAAAAAGTAAATTTTAATCAAGTTAGATGTAAATAATATCAAGAAATTTATTTTTGTAAGATTTGGTTCAATTAATGTTCATCCACCTTAAATTAAATACATCAGTAATTTATGAACATTTGCATCGGTTCTGTTACAAACTAAATCCAGTTAGTTGATAGTGGCAAAATTGGTTGATACTGGCAAAATTGGTTGATAGTGGCAAAATTGGCTTTTGAAAGTTGTACTATTTTTAAAATGAAATTTTTTTTTAGGATTTAGTATTGGGGCAGTAACAAAAAAGTGTAGGAAATCTGAAGGATTTTACATCAAACTTTCATCACTTTGTTTTTTTGCTTAAATGCTTATTCAGAACCAATACCCGTGAATGGTATTTGACTTTTAATGATCGCAAAGTTTTTTTTTCAGGTAAATTATTTACTAAAAAAGTTTTAACTTAGGGTACAAATTCCCACAGTCTATTATATGCCGGGATACAACAGTAGACATTAACACGTTGTCTTTAAGCGTAGTAATGAGGATAAAGCTGTTAGAGTTTTGAATCTAGTATAGTTACCTTTAACTACGATTATTCTACGATTATTCTTACCTTTAACTAGGATTGTTCAACGCAATACTTTAGCATTGAATAACCGCCTGACATGTTGGCAAATTCTTCAACATTTTTTTCTTGTTAGAAAAAAAAAAGTTTGTATAAACTTATTCAGATTTTTGTCTAGAAGGATGTCGTGAAAATAAAACCTCAGGTAAGGTCTCAGTAAATAATAGTAGTTTCAAATCTGACTTCATATTTAGTAACAATTATGCACTCGAAACTCATTATTGTAACATTAAGTGTTAGTGTTGACTTTCGTTGGTTGAATTAGTGGTTGCAGGGCTTCCGAGAGGGGTAGGGGGCGAAAGAGACAGTTTGTCCTGGGCGAAAAAAAAATGCCCTTCATCTATAATATAGGGAAATTTTGTTAAATAAGGGCGCCAATTAGGATTGCTGTTCCAGGCGGCGTGGTGGCTTTCGGTGGCCATGAGTGGTAGACTTTTAGTTGGTAGACTTTCGAGTCAGTAACCTTCACAAAAATTTACAATGATGGAAAAAAATATTCGTGTGCCGTAAAAAATTTACTTTTTATTTTCCGAGCGTAATTTTACACAAACCCGTGTTCAAAATGTCAGCTGGAACTATCATAAACAAACATTTTGCATTTTCTAAAATTGTATTACCCAATCTGATAAGTTGTAGACAACTCTCTATTACAAATCCATTATCAAAAAAAAGACGAAACATTTCTAAATGGAAAAACAGTTTTCCGTCAACTGTATACACAGAAGGTTCATTATTTTTGTAATAAACAAATATTTCTAAAATTTTGATTTCTAAGGAATTAACTATAAATAATATAAACATTGAAATCATTTGTAACTATTTTAAAGTTTCAGGAAAAATATGATTCTATATCATTTTTAGCATACTAAAACCTTCCAAAACTCCCAAACGCAAAACATTCTATAGGAGCAACAATTCAATTGTAGTGCAAATGTGTGTTCCACGTTGTTTGCAAATTTGATGAATTGTGTTTTGTATTTTCAATATTTTCCCTTTGATCTTAAGAATTTTAATAAGAAAACTCCTTATCCGTTTAAATTGCTTTATATTTGCATTTATCAAGTCTCTCCATTTTTCAAAATCTAATGTTTTTTTATGCAATCTTTGAAGCATTAAATTTCGAAGAGTTTAAATAGACTAATTAAAGTTTATTAAATATAACACAAGTATTGAATGTTTTCAAGATGTAACAAAATTTAAAGAATTTCAGAGTAACTAAAGAAAATTTGAAAGACATGTCCAGCAGAGTCAAATAGTCTTGAAATTATAAATTTGCACCAATGGTTCTGTAAAATGGGTTTTTTAGTGTGACATAAAACTAGTTGTAGCATCATTCAGCATTGGTTATTTAACATTTGTATAATATATATTCCAAACAAAGCAGACAACAGAAATAAATTTAGAATAAAAAAATCAAAGCCGAGTTTACAAAAAACATGACAATTTCAAACTATTGCTTGAAATGATATCCTAAAAGGCATGATTTTATATAACCTAACAATACAAATAACAATAAACAAATAAAAATTAAATTTAAAATTGCCTCGTTAAAGCAATGACTCATAATTGATAAGTGGGTTTTAGTATGTTGAATATGATTTAATGAAAGATTTAGATGGTTAATTTTTTTTTATGTCTCTTGGCTTTTTATGTTTTTATTTTTATTGATTTTATAAATATTTTTAAATTTTACATTTAACATTTATTTTATAGTTTTATCAAAATATTATGTCTAGTTTAATTAAAAAAGAACGGAAATGTTATTTGTCTGTTCCTATTATGAAAGCAGCTATGCTGAATGATGTAAATAATATCAGACGTATTATTACTGAAGATGGAAATGCAGTAAACTATTGCCATATAAGTTCTGGTGATACTCCATTAATTGTAGCAGCGAGACACAAAAGCTTTGAAGTTCTTAAAGAGTTACTTAACTTTGGAGCTAAAATAGAGTGTTGTAATATTGATGGAAAACGCTCTTTACATGAAGCAGCATATAATGGTTGCTTGCTCTGTGTAGAGTTTTTGCTAAATCAAGGTGCTCAAGTTGATCCATTAAAACGAGCTGATTGGACCCCACTAATGTTGGCTTGTACAAAAGGAAATCTGGATATTGTTAAGTTGTTAGTAAATGCTGGTGCTAATGTTCAAAGAAAAAATAAAGATGGATGGACTTCCTTTCATATCTCCTGTAGAGAGGGTTTTATAGATATTATGGAATATTTAGTTTTAATTGACAATACATTATGTTTTACAGTGAGTAATAACAAACGTACTCCTCTTCACACCTCATCTATGCATGGAAAAATTGAGGCAGTAAAGTTTTTATTAGAGAAAGGATGTAATCCAGATGTAAGAGATTCTTGTGGTAGCAGTCCTTTAATGGATGCATTGCGATTTGGTTTTGTTTCTGTTGCAGAAGTTTTAATTAAAACAAATTTAGTTTTACTTGATCAAGTTGACAATCTGGGAAGATATCCACTTCATATTGCAGCAGAAAGTGGCCAAGTTGATTCTGTAAAATATCTTGTAGAAAAATGTAATGCTGACATTAATCTCAAAACAAAGATTTCAGGGTACACAATTTTTCATTTAATAGCCAAAGAAGGTCATTTGGAACTACTTAATTATCTAGTGAATGATCAATCAGTAAATCGATGTTTTAAATATTTACTTAATGAACCAGATGCTAATCTGAGAACACCTTTGCATCTTTCAGTTGCATCAAACAAAGTTAGGTTTGCAAAAATGCTTATTGAGTTAAAATGTGATCAAACTTTAAAGGATAAATTTGACAAATTGGCAGTTAACTATGCTCTTAGTCAGGAAATGAGGGATGTTGTACAAATTGAATTACATGCCTTATAGTTAATAAATAATGTATATTGAATTATGTATTTCTTTTTTTTTGTTTTGTTTTGTAAGGTGACTAACTTACTAAAGAAAAAGAAAACCCATAAGAGTAATTGAGCATTAGTGTAATTGTAGGAGCATTAGTGTAATTGTAGGAGCATTAGTGTAAGCAAGAATTTTTGATGTTTCAGATATTACACTTTTGAGTATTATGTTGGAGTTTGCAACTTAATTATGTTCATGTTTATGTCACACGAGAATGTTTTGTAAAAATGTTTAAAAGTGTCATATTTGAAACATCAAAAGTATGCCTATACCACTGAGTAGGAGGAGCTTGATCCACTAAGTAGGAAGAACTTGATCCAATGAATAGGAGGAGCTTATGAATCTTGTATTATAATCTTAAAAAATAACAAAATTTTTTTTTTTAATTTTTCAATTTTTTTTTATAAAAAATATTAATTAATCAATATTAAAAAAAAAGAATAAAAAAATATTTTTTTATGAAAAAGATTTTTTTAATAAAATTTTCTTTTAGAACATTTCTTTTTAGATGTTTAATCATCAGGTGACATAGGAATAAGCATAAATAAACTTACATCTAGAGACATCATGACGGGCATAAATGTGCATACATTAATTGAAAAATAAGGAAATAAATAAATAAATGGTACATATAGTTAATAAACTGCTTAATCAAATAAGTTTAAACTTGTCCAAATTTTTTGAAAAAGATAAAAAAGTAGAACAATAACTGAAATAAAAAATATATTACAATTACTTTTGTTTTCATATTTTTCAAAAGCCCTCATATTTTCACTCAACTTGGCATAATTTAATTTTTTCCATTAGCAGTACACTTTTTATATATTTATCAGAACTGAAAAGCTTTAAAAGGAACACCAGAAAAAGTTTTAAAAGTTATTTTTTTGCAGAGTTAAGTTTATGCTGTACTAATATATTCTTTTCACTCTTTTTATAAAAATTTAGAGACTTTTTTGAATATAACATAAACTTAACAGTAAAAATATAACATAAACTTAACAACCAAGTTATACTCACTTGAAAAAGATGAATAAAAAACATTTTTTTTACTGTAATAAATGTTCTTTACATGTAGATATTGTCTGTCCAAATTCTCAATTCTAGGATCTATGCAAATGAATATTTGCTGTATGATGTTGTCCATAATGCTTCATGTGTAGCTAAATCCAGATTTATATATTGCCCATTGAATAGTACTTTGCAATGACATCGCAAATGGAGGAAGTTCATACTTTATTGAAAGTTAATCATACTTTGCAATCACATTGCAAATGGAGGAAGTATTTTTTTAACGGGAAAATGCTGAAAAATATAAAAATAGAAAAAAAAATTTGTTTAGAATAGAAGATTTACAAAAAACTAATGAAGTGAAAACAATAAAAAGATTTAAGAATATAAGCTGAAGAAAAATATTAAATAAACAGAACATCTAAAAGCAAAGTTAAAAGAAAAAAATGCTCTTGAGATAATTGAAAATAAAAAACTTTAATAATTTATTAAAAGAAAACAAACAAACAAAAAAAAAACAAACAATTTTTAAGTTTTAAGAATTCATGTTGTTTGCATTGTTTATATAATCGTGTATTTTTGTGTACTCTTTATATTGTCCTGTATTTCTATTTTTGTTTATACTGTTTGTTTTTTTTACTTTATTTGTTTATTTTATTAAGGTGTCACTCCAATGACTTGTTTTTAATTATACGAGTGACACCGAACCTTATTTTGTAAAATTATAAATAAATCTGAAATTTTTTTCAATTTTATGGTTAAATGGATAAAAAGAAAAAAAAAAAAGTATAACTCAACAACTTAATTATACTAAAGTTGTTTATTTGTAGTATTTTAAGGACAATTTTATATATGTGTTTATTGGTGTTTTAAGGACAGATTTATATCTTTCTAAAGTAACTTTAAACTTGACAGATCTCAAGTTTAAAGGACTTTAAACTTGACAAATCTGTTTAAATTTTAAATATTATTTAGTATAATTATTCAATTTAATATTTTTATAACTGAAGTTATTTAGTTAATATATATGCATATATATATATATATATATATATATATATATATATATATATATATATATATATATATATATATTGCCGTAGTGGTGTAGTGGTAGAGCGCTCGCTTCATAAACGAGTGGTTCCTAGTTCGATCCCCACCACGCCCCTGGTAGTACCGCGCTCAACTCGTTTCTCCGCGCAGCGGCCTTGTTCATCAATTCGTGTTTCGGAGTTATAGAGTTGAAAGAGGGTTATAACCACAAATAAGTAGCCTCCTTGTCTGTAGTGGCCTATTCGGCCTTGAGGAGGTGAATTAAAATTAAAAAAAAAAAAAAAAAATTAAAAATATATATATATATATATATATATATATATATATATATATATATATATATATATATATATATATATATATATATATATATATATATATATATATATGTATATATATATTTATTTATTGGAAATGAATTGTCTATAGTGACATACTATTTATTTACCTTTTTAAAATTTTATCTTTGTTGCTACACCAGAGGCAGCAACTCTTATTCTAAAAATGTGCGCTTTAATTTTTCAGAAAAAGAGAAAAAATAAAGAATTATGCAAGAAAAGATTGCTGCTGTATCAGGGTCTATTCTAGATCATTTTCAACAGTGTCGACCTTATTTCGGCGCTGCCTAAATTAAAATTTGAAGACCTTTTTTTTTTTTTACCTTTTTTACAGCAAATATTGTTTTTTTTTTGAGAAAAATGCTTATTTTTTGCTAAATTGTGCCGAGACTGGTAACACTGCCCAAATTTTTTTCCTAGAATAGGCCCTGCCTATGCCAAACACTTAGTTGATATAGCAGTACTCCTTTGCGGCAGCAGGCTCATAGTTTAAAAATTCCCAAAATAACAAAATACCCGAAAAAGATGTTTTGTTTTTTAGGTTGGCAATTAGCTTGGCATTGCCGAATGCTGACCCTAATTCCAAGGGTATATATATATATATATATATATATATATATATATATATATATATATATATATATATATATATATATATATATATATATATATATATATATATATATATATATATATATATATATATATACAACCCTCGAATTAGAGTCGGTATTTGGCAATGCCGACCTAACTGCTGACCTGAAAGTGTTTGAGGTTGGCAAAAAATTGCGGACCTCATTTTTATATTTTATGGTCAGACCTTTGTATCAAATAATTTTTGCCGACCTGATGCTGACTTCAAAAAAGATTGAGGTCAGCAAATTATTGACGACCTCATTTTTCCTAATTCCAAGGTTTGTATATATATATATATACAGGGTTGTCACCAAATCAGGGAAATCAGGGAATTCAGGGAAAATCAGGGAAATTTAGATACAATCAGGGAAAATCAGGGGAAAATGATTGATTTAGGAAAAAATCAGGGAAAATCAGGGAACTTTTTTTAATTTTTCTTTAATGTTTTGATATTTTTTCTAATAAAAATCTTCCTTTTCAAGGGCACCAGGGTTAATGTTTAACATTTAACAAGAAAATTAATCATATTGTATTTACATTAATTCAATGTTTGCAACTCAATTCAAAGAAAAATGGTTAAGTGATCCTTTGTTTGAAAAATGGCTGGTAATACTCGGTGTAGTTAAGGCGATTTACAAAATATTCGAATACTTTTATTTGAAATTAGCATGGTTTTGTCAGCATATTATATCCAAACAAGATCTTTAAATATTACAATTTTTTTTACTTAAGGTTTTTATAATATTGAAGGAAACTTTTCTTTTTTTTATATAATTTTCAAAACCTTTTTAGAACCCGTAATAGTGAATCTAAAGAACACCATTTTGGAGTCTTTAGATCAATTCAGCTCATCAGCATTAACTTTAATTTAATTAAAATCTTTTGAAAAAGTTCCTTAATTTACTACTGATCCAAGTTCTAATCAGTTCTGACGTATATTAACTATACATAGTTGTCAAATCACAATATTTCTTTCAATTTTAACGATCAGAACAGATCATATTGTTAAACTATAATGTTCATTTCACCTAAAAAACGTAGTAATATAAAATCTTTTTCAAATTTGGACAACCGATTGCGATTTTAAGATGATTTTTTTTTTAAAAAAAGAATCTTCAGTCTGGGTTTTGCCCCAATGATTTTTTTTCTTTTTTGAAGATTTGTTCTCAACTGTTAAAAGTTTAATGGGTTTAAATATAAAACAAGATGTCCTTAGCAGCATTGTTAATGGCAGGCAACTTCAAAAATATGATTTTACAATAAATGAAAACTTTCTGTTATTAAAATTAACGACAATTGGATTTGCTGCAGAATATGACATAATTGAATTGAGGAAAAAGGATGCATTATCTCAGGATGTCATCAACAGTTTTATAAAAGATTATGAATCGAGTTTCTTTTCTGAAAGCAACTGGTTGCATCAGTCCTATGTCAAATCTTTCTAAACAAAAAGCTGATCTTCTTATTCAACAGATGAAATCTGTACTACATCTAGTTCTACATCTGTTTTTAAGAGTTAAAAATGCTCTGGGGTTATTGGAGAAGTTTAAATGTTAAGTTTAGGCATTTGAATGCTGGAAATATCAGGGGGAAAAAAGCAAAATTTTAGCAAAAAATCAGGGAAAATCAGGGAGGAAAAAGCAAAATTTTGTCAAAAAAATCAGGGAAAATCAGGGAATTTTGTTATTAAATAATGGTGGCAACCCTGAATATATATATATATATATATATATATATATATATATATATATATATATATATATATATATATATATATATATATATATATATATATATATATATATATATATATATATATATATATATATATATATTTAATTTATTACTTTATAAAACAATAATTAAAGTATTTTAATAATTAAAGTCTTTATAAACAAATGGAAAAAAAACTTTATGCTTAAAAATGTTTTTTTATTTTTTTATTTTATCAAATGGAAAATTTGTAATTTTGGAATAGCATATTATGTACTATGGTTGGTATGGCCTCGGGAGCTTATTTGTACATTGAAAAAAATAATATTGTAAATAAAGACAAGATTTTTTGAAAATAAAGTTGTTTATAAAAGCTGGAAAGAATAGATAAAAGTACTGTATTGTGCTATAATTGTCCTATCTTTTTAATTTTTGTATATTAAGTTATTGATATATTTTCATAAAGTTGTTTGACTTATTTTTTTTTTTGAGACTGTAAAGTTGAAAAAATGTTTTACAATGTTTGTACCTTTTAATTGTTTGTCAGAATTGTACTATGTTAGTCATTGGTGCTTTTTTGTTTGATGCTAAAAGCAAATTTGTTTGATGCTAATAGCAAATTATTAGTCGATTTATCTTATTGAATACATTTTCAAGGTTATCACTGGGTGATAAATTTGTTTCCATGATTATCATGTTGTTTTGTTTGTAATTTGAATTTAGTTTATGTTGTTTTTGTGAGTAAGGTATTTGTAAAGATAAGGATGTAATTCGAAGGTTATTTATTGGTTCAATGTAAATTTTAACAGTTATGTGCTTTCCCTGTGAGGTATGTTTACCAACTAGAAATGCTTTTACAAAAATTATTTAAATTAAAAATATTATTTCTTTGTTCTTAATATTATTCATATATGTAAAAAATTATGCACCATGTTTTTTTAAATTTTTTTATTTTTAGTCGACTTAGAGGAGAGATGCTTCGACAACATACTTGACACAAAAACCAAAAATAGGTTTCATCGAAGAAATATGTTCAAGTTACTTCTTGATAGGCTCATCACTCATGAAAGAGTTGTTGTTACATATGTTAGAGGAAAGGGATTAGCTAGACTTACAGAATTGGTATGCTTCTATTTATATGTGCTTAATTGTATCACTTAATAATTTTGAAAGGAGGAAATTTAATTTTTTTTTTTTTTTTTTTTTTTTGAGGCACTTTCATTACAAATGTTTATAAACATTTTCTAATTCAAACTCTATTTTTTTAAGGAGTGCTGCTACAATGCTGAGGGTTTGGACTAAAACAGAAATCTTTTCTTTCTTTATTCTTCTTTTTTTTTTCATAGAAAAAGCTGTATGCCATAAAGATAAAATGAGTAAGCGATTGTTGATCTATAAATGCTTAAATATTACCACACAATGGGCAATGGGAAAACAGCTGTTTTCATTGGTTTATAACTTTCGAACAGAAAGTTGATTAAGGACTTTTTAGAAAGGTTTTTATGTGTAAATTTTGGAAAGAAAAATTTTGCTGCAAGATATTTAGGTCATAATTTAAAAGAACAAAATATTGAAAATTTCATAAAATCTGCTTCTTTTATAGGTTAATACAAAAATACGTATTAATTTTTCCAAATATGTATGTATATTTTGTAACACAAAGATAACATAGGTACATCAATGACAAAAACAATAAAGATTATTAAAAGAAGTACTAATATACATAATTTATTCATATGTCTCTGCTTGTTTCAGAAATCTATTTAAAACACTAAAAGGAGACTCAGACCAATCAAAAACACCAAATTTTGCATGTACAACAGTTTTCATAAAATGGTCAAATGTTTCCAGCAAAGTATGAAAAACCTATAAAAACATCAGAAATTTTAATATGTTATTATTTTTAATATCAAGTATGTTGACATATTAAAAATATAGAATTATATGAACACTATTACAAGATAAAAAACAAATTTGAACAAAGGATTTAACTCTTTACCAGCTCCTTTTTAACTCCTTACCAGCTTTGATTTGCCAGCCCATTTTTTTAAGTTTGTTTTTCTTTAGATGCAGAACTTTGCCTGCTATTCTGAACTAATGTTTTTTGTGTTAATGTCAATTCATTGGAGCTAAGTGCCTTATTATAGTATACAACCTGTTATATTTGCAGAAATAGTTTTTGATTGTTCATTTTCCTCAGCAATAAAAACTTCAAATAACTTAAATTCAGTTAGCATTGTTATTAAACTAAAGATGTAAATATTTTTGTTGATTGATTATCTAATAACTTTTTAAACAAAATGATTTAAACTTAAAAAAATATAGTATAATTCAAAATATAAACAAGTTTACATGATAAGTAAAAGTATTATTTAACCACAAAGCCCTCAGTTTTGATTTTAACTCTTGCAATTCATTGATTTTAAAACAGATTTAAAACTGTAAAATTTTTTTAATTTTTGTGATAAGTTGATATAAACTAGATTAAAACTGGTAAAAAATAAAAGTTCAATGGAAAAGATAGCAAGAATGGGGAGTGGAGGTGTAGGTCAAAAATTGGTCTTAATCCTTTTTTTAATTTCTAAACACATTTTCTAATTACTGAATACATTTTCCCCTATAAAAAATATGTATAAAATAATGTAAAACTAGTTGCATTAATATTTTTTAATACATTTTATAAAAGTTTAAACTAAAGAGGTAGGGTCATTCTTTTATATTTTTGTTTAAAAGTGCTAAGTTGCCACAATTTAGTTAAAAAGCTTTGTTATAGAAATCTAAAAATATATGGGTTGACTAGTGCCAACTCTTTTTGAGATTTCTTTCATTAGGTATTACATGTAAAAAGAATTTTTGTGCAATAATCTATGAAATTAACATTCACATTTCCATAAACTGCAGTCTAAGGTTGTTTCTACATACAATTATCACATCAATTATCATTGCTTATATAGTGATATTTTTTCTTACATATAATTTTCTTACATATATTTATATATTCTGTATCTATATACAAAACTAAATGTACAATCATATTTTGGTTGTTAAGTTTATGTTATTTTTTTATTGTTAAGTTTATTATATTCACTCTACTCACAATCAGGAAGTGAACAGTTGCAAATATAAAAATGTTGCAGTGCACTAGTGTCCCCAGTCATAAATGTAGATCTGTCCTCATAAAATTTATTTTATGAGGACAGATCTACATTTATGACTTAAAATTAAGTTTAAAACATTTTCTCGTGTTTATTGCAATCATATTAAAAACTTGTATGCACTTTACAGAGACAAGGATACTCTACAAGCACTTTATAAGGATAGGGACACTTTAAAAGTGTTTTACAAGGACAGGGGCACTTTATAAACACTTTACTAGGATAGAGATACTTTACAAGCACTTTACACACACACAGGGACACTTTGCTAGCACTTTACAAGAACAGGAACACTTTATAACCACTTTACAATGACAGCAGATGAGAATGAGCTTCATTCTTTATAGTTCATAAGTTTTGATAATATTTACAATTTAGATCAGTTTTTAAAAATACTTATCAAACACCCAAAAAAATATTTGGATTAGATTATTTTTAATTAAATTAAAAATTAGATAATTTTAATTAATTAAAAAACTCATGATTTTTTCCAACCCTGATGAGAATGGCTTATATATACCATAATGTTATCATAAATAGGTTTTATGTTTAAGCCTAGAAAACTTTAGCACCCAAAGTTAGCTTTGAATGTTCAAGAGATTAATTTGAAATGAAATTTAAATGAATTTGTAGTATATATTAATATAGTAGAATTTGTAATATTTGTAGCTGTTATAGTTGTTTTAATGATTTAGTAATGCAGCATAACAATTTTTAGTTATTTGATTTCGCAAAGAATGGCGATGAACCAGCAGTTTATTCCTTAATGCATGTAAGTTCTTTTTTTAAACTTAATTTACTGTAAAGATTAATCTTTTTTTTTTTTTTTTTTTTTTATTAATTAATAAATCATTATATTTTTTTTTACTTAATACTATAAAAAGAAATTGTAAACATGTTGACTCTGTTTCACTTACATTATTTAAATATAATTTTTTTTTTTAAAAGTTTATTTTTGAATTTAAATGTTTTTTGTATATATATATTTACAATACATAAAATACTAAGAAAAATATAAAAATTTTAATTTAAAAAGTTAAGTTTTATTTAACTGATGTATTGTTATTATTGTTCAAAGTATTTTTTATAAATATTATAACAAAAATTATGTTATTTGTATTGTTAATTATACTCTTTAAAAGTTGTTATAGTATTTTAAACAGTGCCACAAAGAGGGGGGGGGGTTGCCCCCTTTGGATATCTGCTGCCCAAATTGCCCTGGGCAGCAGATATCCAAAGGGTGCCAAATAAAATGTAGGTACCTAAAAAAAAAAAAAAATGGTCCTTCATATACAATATAGAAAAAATTTGATAAATAAGGGCGCCAATCAGGATTGTTGTCAATCAGGATTGTTGTCACAGGCAACTAGGAGTTTTTCATTTCTTTGAATTAACTGCGTACTTTCTCGGTCTATTGTTAAAAGATTTATTATTTCAGTAAAAGATATAAATTTGTCTTAATAATATAATAGATTTTTTTAATTTTATTTAAATGACTAAGTTTAAAATTATTTTTTTTAGAAAAAACATTTTTAGAATGAAATTAAAATAATTTATTTTGTTTTTTATCTTGCTCTTTAATTTATTGCAATAGAATGTTGATTTTTTTTAAACAGGTTTTTGTATTCAAAATAAAGTTAAATGTATTAACACAAATTTATTTTATATAAACACGCATTTAAATAAAATTCAAAATTTTAAAAATGACTATCCCTCCCTATCATTTTCTTCTAAACCAGATCCTTGTTTGATTTTTTTCAATCTTTTAAATCAGATCCTTGTTGATTGATTTTTTTTATTCTTTTATATTGTTTTTAAGCGTAAATAGCTTATGCTATACCAGAAGTCATTGCAATTTTTATCTTTATAATAATTGTATAAGAATGTTGAAAATTTTAATTTTAAAATTGTTTTAATATAGAATTAATAAAAAGCTAATGAAAATTTCAAAAATTTTAATGATTTCAAAGCATTAGTTGTTGGTCATATGTAAAGCGTTAGTTGTTGGTCATATTACTGAGTCTTCATCGTGTTTATTCAATACTTTTAAGTTTAAAAAGTTTATTTTTCTATTATACTTAATTTAATGATTAATCAATGTGTTAAGATGTTTGACACAAAAAAAGATGAAATAAATTTTTTTCTTTCTACTTTCTCAAATACAAATAATCTATAACAGATGATACAAACATTTAAATGAAAATAAAATCCTAAATAAGAAACAATTCGGCTTCCAAAAGCAATATTTAACTGAACATTTTAGACCACGCTCTTTTAAATCTAATTAATAAGTGATTAAGTTTCTTAGTACAAATTTTTTTGTTTTATCAAATTTGTATTTGATAAAACAAAAAATTTGTATTAAGTTTCTTAGTACAAATTTTTTTGTTTTATCAAATTTGTATTTGATAAAACAAAAAATTTGTATTAAGTTTCTTAGTACAAATTTTTTTGTTTTATCAAATTTGTATTTGATAAAACAAAAAATTTGTATTAAGTTTCTTAGTACAAATTTTTTTGTTTTATCAAATTTGTATTTGATAAAACAAAAAATTTGTATTAAGTTTCTTAGTACAATTTTTTTTGTTTTATCAAATTTGTATTTGATAAAACAAAAAATTTGTATTAAGTTTCTTAATAAAAATTTTTTTGTTTTATCAAATTTGTATTTGATAAAACAAAAAATTTGTATTAAGTTTCTTAATACAAATTTTTTTGTTTACAATAATATAATAAATATTTTAGGATGCTTTTAAAGTCTCTACAAACGAGGGGGTTAAAATAAATTTTAATTTAGACTGCTTAACCTCAGTTTTACCTTGATTGACTGTTTGAGTAAGGCGCAATAATGGTTATGGAAGGCAGTATTTTAATTGTGATGACTTTGAAATATATTATAATAATTTTAAAACTTTGCGAACAATATAAAACTATAATTATGAAAATTTAATAATAATTTTTGGCATCAGAATAACTTGTTTGCTCTGCAACACTGTTTTTTGTTATTATTGAGGCATCTATTGAATACTAAAAAGATTATAAGAGTTGTTTTGAAGTAACTGATGCAAGTGTTCTTTACTAACAGTTTTGAGTGAGAACATATATAAGATATATATTCTAACAGGTAAACAATTTTATTATAAAAAATTGTAAAAAGAAAAAAAAAATTAAATATTCTATTTACATTCATTTAAATCACAAAAATTATTTATCTTTGTAAAAATAATTTTATAAGCAACCCAAAAATGATTTTGCACTTATAACATCTAAAAAATTACAAAATAAAACCTTAAAACAATCAATAGTGACATTATCAGTAAAAAATGGTAGAATGTCTTCAATTTCAAGCAATTGACATTCATTTTGTCCAAATCTCCAAATCATTGTGGCCACAATTGAATATACAATGCATTATGAAAAATATTGATGATAATAATAAATAAACAATAATAACAATATAATGCAATATAAACAATTAACATGAAACAACTGAATATTTGTACTCAAAATACCATAAAAATTCATTGAATGGTGAAAACCTTCCTGTTCCTATCCTGTTGCTGGTCAACAACATTTTAATCAGTATAAGATAAAGGATAAGAGTTGAACTCACAGAGATTACACTAATGGTGTTTTTATAAAGTAGCTACAAGTTTTCTGTATTCCATATACGTCTCATAACAAAGGTTAGCAAAGTGTTTTATATGTAAAATGTTTAGCTTTCCAATAAATAAGGATATGTATTTTTAGTTGCTTAATACACAGGAGGGGACGTTTATCAATTTTTGGAAATTTTTCCCATCCACCTTACCATCTTTTATTTTCACTTATTATCTACAAAAAAACATCTCAAAACTAAAAAAAATCAGAAAATATACATAGATATCAGTCACTGATAAGATCAAAAACCTTTATTGAAATCAAATTGTTACTTTCTTTAAAAATTGTCAACCTTTAAAAATTCTCGTTATTCTCGATTTTTCAAAACTTGGTTATTTTTTTTTTATTTCTCACCATAGTATGAAACTTTTATAAGCATATTAAGTCCTATTGAAATTATGATGAAACAGCTGTTTAAAAATCTACAGAATTAACTCCTCTAAAATTAAATTGTTTTATTTGTGTTCTGTAAAAAATTACTACCCATTTATACATCAAAATTATCAAAAAATACACCCTTTTATTAACCCTCCCCCCCCCCAATCCTTAATTAGATCTGAATTAAAATTACCCCTCTCCCCTTGTATTAAGCACACAAGAATAAGCTAATTTTTTTATTGGTATCTACTACCTAAAGCTTCAACTTGAGTGCAACCATTTAAGCTGCACACATTTTCTTACTTGTGATATTGTCAGCATTTTTTGAATTTGTAAACATAAAATTATTAGCCATGTTGGCTGTAAATAGGTTAGAATATCGGCGGCTAAACGATTTAATTGGAGCTAAAGTTGTAATCTTTCATAATATTGTTACTTCATCATGTCGCAGAGCTATAGAATTATCTTAGACTAGGTAAATATCAATAAATGATTTTTTAAGCAATTTTTTACTTTGTAAAGTCATTTAAGCATTAACAGAAGGCTGCTTCACCGTTTCTTGCAGTCCATTATTATAGACAGTTTTCTATATTCAGTTGTTTTCCAAATTCAGCCTTTATATATATTTGTAAGATGTTGTTCTTGATATGCGATCATCTAAACATTAGTATCAATTTACATACTTTTTTTATGACTGGTCCATAATGAAATTCATTTAGTTCCATTTTAGATCATACATTTTCATGATTGTAGCCCAGTAAATCGTCCTCATTTACCTTATTTTCTGATGAACAACTGTCAGAAAATTAATTTTCAAATTTTGGCTGATTTGTCCATGAACGTTAATATTCCTATAGCAACAATTTTGAAGTAACGTCCATTTGTCAAAAGACCAAGAAATTCTCACTCCTAGTCTGAATTCAGAATGCGTGCTGCAATTTGATGAACTAATCTTATTTCTTTGCTGTACTCAACTACGTGATTATGAATTTTGTTTACTGGCATTGGTATATTTCTGAATCCCATAGCAGTTAAAGCGGCACGTGAATCTGTCGAAGAACAAATCATAATAAATGAAAGCCCGTCAGACGCCATTAGGCGAGCAAGTGTAACATGAAGTGTTTTGTCTTCCCTTTCATAAATCAAAAAGTATACTATTAGTGATTTATATTTCTTTTTTGGTGGTTTATCTGATGTGTTTTCTTTGGTAATGTTAGGTTGGATTGGACTTTCGACTTTAACATTAAAGTCGAAATGTTAAAGTCGAAATTGCGCCGACAACATGTGTTTGAAGTCTTTTTGTTGAACCCCCTCCGATTTTTAAAATCTTCTTGCAATTTGGCAATTTACACATTGCTGCCTGGTCTTTCTCATCCCGTAGAAAATATTTCTTAACAGCTAAGTTACATTTAATTTTAAAATCCATATACGCCATGCTTATTTAATGTTTAATTTTGAAAACCTTAAAAGAAACGTTTTTTTTTTAGTTTGAAAAAAATTTATTTTGCAGAATTACAGAATAAAACAGAAAAACTAATAAAACTCTCTAAATCCACCATTTGTACCAAAGTTCAATGAGTTAAACTACCGTGTAAAGTACCGTGTTTAACTTCGAGAACTCATTTTTAAATATTCACGTTTTTCCGCTTCTTTGTGTCTAGTGAATATATGTTTTGTTGGTTGCTTATAGGTGGACTTGGAATTTACGTGCGTTACTCTAACATCAAAAAATGCAGTTTCTCCCCTTCTCCAAAAACCTTTAGCTTTCGTATCCAATCTAACCTAATAATTTCTTTTTTAAAGATGATAGTGTATTAAATTTTTAAATTGTGTATATGCTAACCAACATAATATATTGTGAAGATTTTCACTTTTTTTTTCTTTTTTAAACTAAACCTTTTCGATAACTTTTTTATTGTGAACTGAAGATACAATTAATTTCTGCAATACTAAATAATAATTATTTTATTGATATGCATAAATAGTTTATATTTTTATATAATTTTTGTTACGCTTTGTTTTGTTCGATCTCATAAGGAAATCCTGGGATTGATATTAGACAATTTCGGGATTTCAGGATCCCTGTATTGCAATCGCTAATAAAAAGTCTATTGGAAACTTTAGGAAAGTTTAAAAAATTAATCGTTTTGTTCCATTTTTTCATTATTCACAAAAGACTTTAAATAGGATATATTTCTATAGTAGGTCATAGTTAGGAATACCAAAAATTTACATTAAATGTATCTTAAGTAGTAGGGTAGATTAGGGTAATATGAGCACCTTAAGCAAAAATTGGAATATTTTCAAAAATAAATATGCTTGATCCAAAATTTTTGCAAATAAACAATTTTTAAGGATCCCTATTCATAATCTATTTAGATATTTGGGCACTTAACATTTTTTCTTAAAAACACAGAGGTTTTAAAAAAGTAATATGAGCACTTTAAATAAGCTCAAAAAAATAGCATTAGTTAAGTAAAAAAAGACTCATATTACACAAAAATGGTATCTTTAAATAATGTCAAAAATAAATGTTTCTATGCATTATTTTTCAAACAAAAATGAATTGGATTTTTAGCTAATATATTTTTCTTTATGAAAAAATTAACTTCATTATTTTAGCACCAAAATATCGCGCCACAGAATTATTCACGCGTGATGATTTTTTTAACAAAGCAAAAAATTTAAAAGCGTTTTAATTAGATGATATCCGCTAATTAATGCGTATAAATTTACGCTAATTGTACTGATTCCTGTTATCACCACATAAAGTCGATTCGAAAAACATAAAGCAACTTTAACTTCACTGCTTACATCTAATAAATCTTTAAGTATGCTCATATTACCAAGGTGCTCATATTACCCTAATCTACCCTATATTAAATTTAAGCATATTTACATAATTGTTGTATTTTTTATTGTAATCTATTTATTGTTCTTACTTATTTCAAGAGAAAAGAACTTGTTCCTCGTGTTTTCAAAGACTTATTGCCTCGATTTGAAAATCTAGAAAGTGGTTACACTCGAATGTATCGTTTGCAGTCAGAAGCAATTCCACAAGTCCGACGTGGGCGTTTATTGCATCACATAAAAGGAAACGCTGTAGTTGAACTTGTTGGTAATGACCTCCCTCCTCTTTTACCCACAGAAGAAGAGTTACAGAAACTTACATTTGAATATATGATGAAGAAAAAAGAA